AAACCGAAATAAAAATACCCGGAAATCCGACCCGTAATCCGACCCGAATTATTGTTAAAAACGAATATTCTTAAATATTGTTAGTGACTAAAATTAATTATATTTACGATTTTAAATAAATAGCAAATCTTTGTAACAATAAATACCAGATCTTATTAAATATTGATATCTATGTTTCCAAACTTACTTATTTTAAATAGTGCTATCCATGTTTCCAAACAAAAGGTTAAAGTACTTCTACTTTAATAAGATAGATATTATAGTTTCCTCCGTTTGAGTATTATCATTAGAATCATAGCATAAATATGCTTGCACAAGGTACGTTTTGTCTTACCGTTTCACATAGGTTCCAAGTAATATGATATCACATGAAAATATTTTAGTATCCATTTTTACTTAAATGTTTGGTGTTGTGACAGATATCTGTATGGACAAAGAGCCAGATGGTGTTGTGGTCTATGCTAATGTTGACTCTTGTGATCCAGACCAAGAAAATGTTTCTGTACTGCCTCCCTTAGAGTCAGTATCACACGATGAAGCTAATGGAGAAACAGAACTTCTATTTACAGGAGAGAACGTAGAAGTAAGAGAATATGATGTTAAAGAGTGTACTAACGAAGTTCCAGTTTCTAAGCCCTTGGAAGATGGCAATATGAAGATAGCTTCGTTGGGAAAGGGCGCTAAATCTGTAAGTAAGTCAGCAAAACATGCGTCGAAAGCAGGTCGTGGGAGTAACAAAATAAGGAACACCGTTCCACAACCATTTGCTTTAGCTACTGAGAAACGTGCTTCATCTACTACACGTTCGTTTACTGGTGAGTCTCATGGAGTAGCAGCTGTGTCAAAAGTATATCCAGATGGGTACCGTAAAGTAAGAAGTCAGGCCATAAAGGTAAGGATCTATGCTATTATGCTAATCTACACTCTCTTCAGGTCAATGTTTCATTGGGATGTGCCCAAAACCGGCCTAAATCTCTTGAATCTTAGCAGGTATCTAGCAATCCATTGCAACCAAAAAACAAGAAGCTTTCTGATGAGGAAAAAGATTCTTGCTCTATTGCTTCTTAGTATGTTTCCTTCTCATCAAAGTTAGTTTCTGTTCAACTCACAGTTGTCTAACCATTTAATTTATCTACTGAACATGTGACTATTGTTAACAGTGCCAAATCAAGAACCATTGTCACTGCAGCTCCTTCGTTTCGATCCACCGAGCGTGCAGAGAAGAGGAAGGAGGTGACATAATAGTCCTTTTTCTGTTTTTCTTTTAAATACATTTTGCATTAGCTTTAGTTGTTTGCTGTTCTTTAGTTCTATATAAAGCTGGAAGAGAAACACCAAACCATGGAGGCCGAGAAAATGGAGAGCGAAGCAAGGAACAAGGAAGAAAATGATGCAGCCCTGAGACAACTAAGAAAGAGTATGATGTTCAAAGCAAAGCCAATGCCCAACTTCTACCATAAAGGGCCTCCTCCAAAGGTTGTAGTAAACAAGATAACACACAAGGTTGTCTACAACATCTAGAAAAATATAGATTACTAGTAAACTTTTAAAACCCTTTTCGAGTTGTTAACTAATATGCATTATGATGGTGTACATGAATCCATAGACCTCCAACTCGAGCAAAGTCGCCAAAATTAGGGAGAAGGAACACAAAAGAAGGGAACGTGAAGCGGCATGAAATTCGAAAGACTCTAATAGAAATCTGTAAAGAAGACCGTGATGATGAAACCACACAGGATGCTGACCAAATAAATCGGTTTGTTACAGATTAATTAAACCAAAATTTGGAACAGAAGACCGCTTTTGCTTGCTAATTAAACGGTTTTTGGTGATAAGGAACTGATAGTTGTGTTTCTGATGTGTATGGGATGGCTTGTGTGTGGTTTAACTTATGATTTGGAAGTGTAAGTGTGTGTAGTTTAATCATGATTGTGTGCACATAGAAGCAAAGAATCTTCATGCTGGCCTTGTTTATAATGAATGTGGTGGACTCGACGCGGCGTATATTATTATTTACCTACTGTGGGGTCGTGAGAAAACCATAGTATTACAATATTTCTATTTTGTATAAGGTAAGTTGTTTGATCAAGCATGTCATTATTGGAGAGAAGTTGGTGTATGCAATGAACTTGTAACTCCTCAATCATTGTTCTAGTTGTTTGATGATTTGCAACTTGAAACTTTGCAAAATTATATTAAAAAAATACAAAAAATAATTTACATGTCGATTTGTATATGAAGAAAAGTTGTAGTCTGTTTTTTAAACGGTCGACCCAGAGTCTAATGGGTAGTACATTCGAGGTTGCACAAGTACTGGGTCTGGCTAATGGGCCTAACTAGAGATAATCGTGGCTCTTGTCGGTAGAATGATATGTGGCGCAACGTTTGGTAGCGGCTAAGGTACTGACGAACCTAGAAGATCTCTCTAATTTCCAACCCTACTGACAAAAATGTTGCAGCAAATCGGTACAGTAATGTGTCCAGAATCTCACGTGTTCTAATTCCTCCATCATCCTCCCTACTATGATCGCTTGCACGTGAATCTCACATCCTCGTATCTTTTTCACCTCATATTTTTTTTTTGAACTTCTTTTCTTTTTCCACCTTATCTTTTCTTTTTGAACTTCTTTTTTTTCCACCTTATCATTTACTATAATTGTTTAAATATGCCTGTAAAATTTGAGTTTACTCCTTTTTTAACGAGAAACTTATCCACTATTTAGTATCGATAACTGTTTATACAGAAAAGAATATAAATACATATGGTTAGTATTTCATAAAAATAAAAAGAAATCTGTTTTATTTATTTAGTATCTATATTCTTAGAAAACTTAAATTGTCATTTTGCATAACTTTGTTAGATGATAATTCTGTTATAGTATAAATTTCTTTATTTATCAGTATAGATTTTTAAAAATATTTCCAAAATATTTAATTAATCAATAATTAAAGTGTATATTTTAGTCTGTTCATCTAGTATCTAACAAGTTTTAAAGCTACATACAAATGTAAAAATAATTAATATTTCTAAACAAAGTAATTATTAATAATTTATATTATAAAAACCAAAAGAATACTTAAATTAGTCTAAAAGAGATAACGATTAACTTAAAAAGGAAAAAATTGAACCAATTTAACAGTTTATCAACACTGGATAAAATGAAGTTGTATCCTTATCCACAAGTGCAGAAGACGCGCCAGAAACAAACGAGTGAGATTCGAAACGAAGAAAAGCCGAGTCATCGCCACTGTGCTGTTCCTATCACTATCCCCCCTCCTCCAACGTCTTTTCGCTACAGCAAATAACCAAATCAACATTTTATTATTAAAACTCTTTAAAAAATATTTAAATAAATAAGGTGGAAATTGCTTCCTCCTTCCTCTTTCTTCTCTTCTCGCTTCTCCGTCAATGCCGTTCGATTCTCCGGCGAACAGAGTAATCCCTTCCCCGTTATAAACCTCCCTTCAATTCCAGATCGAAGAGAACAGTCATGGATGAGGAATCGTATCGCAACCTAACCGATTTCATCCGTAGAACCTCTGTTTCCGAAACATTCGTCGACATCTTGCTATGCGCGGTTCCGATTTGGCTCGCCGTCATGATCGGGCTCCTGATCGGATGGTCCTGGCGTCCGAGGTGGACCGGATTGGTTTACCTAGGGTTCCGCTCCAAGCTCCGGTTTCTCTGGACCGCTCCCCCCGGATTCGGCGCTCGCCGCGTTTGGCTCGCCTTCACCGCTCTCTCGGCGTTCTCCGTCTGCCGCACTTTATGGTCAAGGCTCGGTTCGAGCTCCAAGAAATCGATCGGAGAGATTCCTCCTAGTGGTGGAGTTTCACGGTTAGTTATTTACTTAGAGAAAAATAAAAATGGAGAATGTTTTCTGATTTTTATTTTTTTTTAATTGATTGGATTTGTAGAGTTAGTGATGAGAACATAGAGAAGGAGGAGAAGGATGTTGTGACGGAGAAGGATCTTGAGCATCTGTTGTATCTTCTTGAAGGTGGGAATGCAGATATGGAGTGGCAGTCTATGATGGATAAGTCTACTCCTAACATGAGTTACCAGGCTTGGCGTCATGAGCCTCAGGTAGTCTTTGAGTTTTTGAACTCTATCTGCTTGAATGATTAGTGGTTCCTTAGAGTTAGAAGGGGTTTTAATGTTTTGGTAGAGACATGTTTTTTTCACTTATCTGATGCATTTAGTTTAAGTTACTGAAAGGGAATGTTGTTTTTTGATACAGACAGGGCCTGTTGTTTATAGAAGTAGGACTGTTTTTGAGGATGCAACTCCAGATATTGTTAGGGATTTCTTCTGGGATGATGAGTTTCGGCCTAGATGGGATCCTATGCTTGCTTACTTCAAGACTTTGGAGGAAGATCCTCAGACGGGAACAACAGTCGTTCACTGGATTAAGAAGGTATTTGTTGATATTTTAGTTGATATTTTAGTTCTCTCTCCTCCGTGAAGAGCCATGAGTAATGTGTTTCCTCTGTAGTTCCCATTTTTCTGTAGTGACCGGGAATACATCATTGGTAGGAGAATATGGGAATCTGGAAAGAAGTATTATGCTGTCACTAAGGTAAGTATCTTACTTTTGCTTCCTCTTAGATCAAAGTATCTCTAACAGTTCTGAATAGCAAAACACTTGTTTGATGTAATGTTTGTAGGGAGTGCCGTATGCGGCTCTACCAAAGCGTGATAAGCCAAGGCGAGTAGAGCTTTATTTCTCAAGCTGGATAATCAGACCAGGTATGCCCTCTTAAATTCCTTGACACGGCTTGCTAGTGTCCTTTTCCAGATGTTGTCATGTCTGATTCTAAGTGTAAATATATAATAATGTAGTTGAATCTCGAAAAGGGGATGGACAAATGTCAGCTTGTGAAGTCTCCCTTGTCCACTATGAAGACATGGGAATCCCAAAAGACGTAGCCAAGTTAGGAGTCCGTCATGGCATGTGGGGAGCCGTCAAAAAGCTAAATTCCGGCTTAAGGGCATATCAGACAGCAAGAAAGCCAGGGGCGGCTCTGTCACGGAGCGCTCAAATGGCGGGAGTCACCACAAAACTGAACATTGATTCGGTGGAAGCATCGAGAGTAGAGGAAGAAGAAGAAGAGAGAGGGCGAGCGGGGGAGAACGCAAGGAGACAAAAGGAGCAGTTCAGTGTAGATTGGAAATGGATCGCTGTAGGAGGAGTTGCTTTGGCTTGTGGGCTTCATTCAAGTGCTATTGGCAAGGCTTTAATGGTTGGAGCAGGGCAGAGACTTGCTCGTAGGTGAAAATCTTTCTCGTTATCTCCACCTGAGAGATTGATATTATTATGTGTTTTCCCTGAGGCTTCTTTAGCCCAGCACAGAAAAGCAATTTAGTCATATGCATCATGGGTTGTGTTTTCTTCTTTTAACTGCGTTGAGAAGAGCCTATTTAGTGGTGGTGGCAGCAAAGTGAAGAGAGTAACTTTGAGCCAAGTGCTACGATGGGGTCGAATATTTCATGTAATACCGTCTAAAGACTATGTTGCATGTTGTGCTCCGTTCTGTTGACAAGTATTTGGCAACTAGATGTCAGATTTATTTCCATTGAGCTAAACTCCATCTAGAGAAATCATTTGAAAATAAAGAAAAAGACATTTGATTATAAAAGTTTCTCCTAAGAAGCAAACCTCCAATGTCTCATGCATCTTGGAGAAGATGTTAGTTCATTTCGATTCGTTTCCAATATAGATTGAATGGTTGGTATGCGAAAAACTTTTCATCCGAAAGGAAGCAAGTGTTATTACAAAATCCATTGCCATGTCATTATCGGTCTTACGTGATGTCTTGTTTGTGAATAATCAAGAATCTATGTAAGAAGTGTCCACTGTGACAAAAAAAAAAATGTAAAAAGGATTCAAGACCGCAGATCAGTCGAGAGTTGCGCGGTTAGTTAATAAGACACGATTTACTTGGGATGAGGAGAGAAAGCATCCCTTAATGACCGATACTCTGAATCATACGACAAAAAAAAAGTCTAATGTATCCTTCTCATGTCAACAAGTTTTTAATAAAAAAATATTATTCTTAATATGTACAAAACGTGGAGAGGAAGATGGATGATGATTCATATGTTTATATTTCAAATTTACAATATCGCATTATTCTTCAGTTTTACTTATTTTGTTTAATGTTTAAAGATAGAAAAGTAATATAGTAGTAGAAGAATGTAAACTATAAAACTACATAAACTCAAAATTTAATGAAGAGATAATATTTATTAGATTTGACCAAAAAGAAAAAAAAAGAATAAAGATAATATTTTAAGACGAGTTGTTAATGGGCTAGATGCGTTTCGGGAATCCGATTGGAGGCATGATTATTATATACATCAAAGGTAAATTAAAAACCGAAAGCCTCATATGACACATAACAGTAAGAAGTGGGGACTCACTTATATATCGACGAATTTTTAGGAACCACATGTAACTTAAACCAAACAAACAAAGAAAGCTGCAAACCCTAGTGCAGTCTTTTATTCATGGTTTCTTCTTCCGCAAGAAAGGGTTTTAAAAGAAGATTAATGGTTTGATGATGAATGTCGGAAGAATCATTCATAGCGGTAAGAGCCACTATAGTGGAGAACCATGACGAACCCAGCTCCAAATCTTCCAACCATCCCGTTTTTTCGCTCAGCAATTGGAGTAGTCTGAACCCACCAGTCCGCCAACTCATGCAGCTTCTGTGTAGGACACACGGACTCTTCCCTTAGCCATATCTCCACCTGCATGATCCAACCAATAGGAGAGATCAATATCTTAGTTTTAAAGAGACATGTAGACAAAGAAGAGTCATTACTTCGTTCTCGCTTTTCAGACCGAGCTTTTTCGCTACATACTTCTTGACATATGACACAGTTAAGTTTCCATCTCTGTCAAATAAAAGCATCACTATCACACTTTCTCAATGAAGTTGTTATGTCTTCAAAACTAACAACTTACGTTTGTATGTTTTGACTGGAGATTTGTGGCAGTAGAGGCATATTAGTGTTCCGGGCAGCTATTAGTGAAAACCAAACTTTTTTTGGTGTAAGTGAAACTTTGTTGTTACTTGCTTCAGTTTTCTTCTCTGCCTCCAAAGAAATGGCAGATTGTGATGATGTACCACCTGAACTCATATCCACATGCATTCCGGGTTTCGAAACCGGAGGAGAAGAAGCTTTTCCTTTCCCTTTCTGACCAGAGACCTGCCTCTGGGTAGAGAAACTTACTATCTTTTCTTTACCTTTGTTCTTTGGTTTCTCACTAGAGATTCTCTCTGTAAGGACAGTGTTTTGTTTCTCTTTGCCATTTGGAGTTATTGCAGTCACAGCAGTCAGTTCAGTATGGTTGCTCTTATCAGTAGTACTCAAGAACTTACCAAGATAATCAAATGATACTGGAATCTCTTCCTTATCTTTCCCAGAGTTGTTTTCCTTTTGTATGCATCCTTTATATGTTGATGCTCCAGCCTATGATGCATCAGTTTCATCTCAGTAACAAAAAATATTTTAAACACTCAAGAAAATGATATTCCTTCTGTTTCAATATAAGTGATGTTTAAGAATTTTTTTTTTAGTTGCAAAATAGCCGATGTTCTCATTATTCTAGATAGAATATAATATCATTTGAAATTTGTGACCAACTACAAAATACTGTATTTTTTTCTTATTGGTTGAACTAATTTCATTTAATGATATTATATAACCAAAATAAACTGTATAAAAGTTTGTATTTTCTTAATTCTTGTGCAAAAACCTTAAACACCACTTATTGAAACTGAGGTCAGGAAGCATAGTAATACGTTCTACTCACCAAAACATTGTTTTCCTTGCCAAGCTTCTTTGGTTCCAATGGCTCAGGTGGGGTTGGTACTCCAGACGAAGTGGTGAAGAGTGAAGTTAGAGATTTCTTCTTTCTGGAGTATTTCGAAGAGGTTGAACCAGTTTTCAAAGAGGTTGAACTAGTTTTAGTTACTGCTTTAACGGTTTTTGGCTTTCGTTTGAAGAATCTGTGCTTCAAGTCATTCCAACCGTTATCCAGCCTGCACTTTCATAGCTCAGTTACATATTTGATGTTCCAGTTTTTGTTAAAGTGCATAAACATATTTATTACAAATGTTAAGAAAAAGAAAAGACAGATTATGAAATTCAAAACTTGATGATATACTGGGGTTGATTAGCAGTGGTTATAGGTGTTTGGACAACCATTTTTTTTCTAAAACATTTTTATAAAATAATCATGCTTTAGTTAATAAAAATAAAACTACAACAAAAAAGTTGGTAAAGAAAATGGGGTTGATTGGCAGTGGTTATAGGTGTTTAAACAACCATTTTTTTTCTAAAGCATTTTTATCAAATAATCATTCTTTAGTTTAAAAAAAAAATAAAACTACAACAAAAATTAGTAAAGAAAATATGTTAGTTTTCAAAAGTAATATTTCTACAGTTTTTATTAAGTGCTTTGAAATAAATCCACAGAAAAAAAAATTAAAGCCTAAACAAAAAATTCACAGCTAATTTTCTAAGCAAAATAAAATAAAATTACAGCACTAACCAATCAACCCCACTGTATTTGATTTTGAGAATATATAAATGGTGACTATACTTGAGTTTATCAAAAGGAGCAACACCAAGATCAATATTGCAGACTGGACAAGCTTTCAAGTTCTCTACTCTGAGCTTGTCCTCTATGCATCTCCTGCAAACTGTTGCCAAAATATCCGGAGTCAGAGAGCACAATATAACAAGCAAAAGAACATATTGAACGTGCTTCATTTAGAATTTTTGAATGCTTTCTTACTAAGAAAACCAATGATTTGAGAGCAGTTAATTTAAAATCTCACAGAGAAGTATAAAATGAAACTGAATCGTCTTTACAAAAAAAAGTCCTCATCTGCAATACAGTACTTCAAGATAACAAGTTTATGCTATTATTTACGAAAAAACTTGTTGCTATGAGATATAATTTTGACACAAACATTACAAGGTGAAGAAAAATATTGTTTTTGCTCTGAGATTCAATCTGAAATATCTATCAAAAGAGAGGAAATTTTATAGTTTACTTAAATATGTGTGAATGATATAACATGATTTCAACAGAAACAAGTGATGCCAACAAGGTAACAGTAAGAGCTTTTTATCAAGTGAGATACTCTAAAAAATATTTTAAAAACAAATTTAAAATTTAATATGATTAAATTGTTTAATCAAAATAAAATCTGAACCAATCGTAGATGTATAAATGGCTGAGGGGTTTTCAAAGAGATTCTCGAAGTTTCTGATTTGAGAAGAAAATCGAGTTTCATTCTCTTTCTTCTTTTTATATCTTTTTATCTTAATGATTAGATAATTTATGAAACATCAAGACGCTATACCATCATATATACTAACATAATAACAAAAAATGTAATAATAACAAAACCAGATGATAAGTACATTCATATCACACATAGCCAAAGGAGATTTGCAAAATCGTAGTAAAAAACAGAGAAAACTACAAAATAAAAATCAAGACTCACATATGTGGTTACACTCGGTGATGTTGGTGGGATGATCGATTAAATTGTTGCAGATAGGGCAATTGAGGAATGGATCCACATCCTGCTTCAAAATATTCTTCTTCTCCATTTCCATATGTCTCAAAGAAAAGCTGTGTGCGGCTATTTGATAAGATAAAGATAGAACAATATCTTAAATCTTATTAAAGGTAGGGGTTACACTAATAACTGATATTATTTCATTGGATGATTAATTGGGCCTCAGACCATATATCACTTGATTAACAAAAAATGAGATTTGTATTTAGTTGTTAAATTACATTAAGTATTTTCCGAGAAAGTGGTCCTTTTAGACAATTAGAACTGAAAGAGTCTCGGAGCCAGGGTGCATGCCAATTTTATACGATCAGGTGGAGTGGCACAAGATCTGCCTCTTATCTTATGTCGAGATATTGATTCATTCACACAACAACTTGCTTCTCATATTGGTGAATTAGAGAAGATGTCGTCTGGAAACCGTATCTGGAAACAACGATTAATGGATATTGGTACTATCACTGCACAACAAGCAGAGGATTGGGGATTCAGTGGTGTAATGAAATGCATTTTATATGCTTTAAAAGGAAAATGATTTAATTTCTAAATTGGGGTAATCCAGTATATATAAATTGAGATTTGAAACATGTACAACACAATCTTCTTTTTATATAAAGAACAACTCCACTCTCTTCTCATTAACCCACATCACTTGATGATGTCACTAATTCAATTCATTACAGGTGGACACGTGTCTCATAAGAAAAACATTCGACTCTTTTTGGTTATCTATTGGGCTTACAAGATTATATTATTTGTGGGCTTTGTTTAATGTGTTATGAGTTCAAAAGAAAGAAAAAAGGTAACCAGTTTTATTTTCACTTTCTTCACGAGTTGCGTTTCTAGGGTCCGTCGCCTCCTTCAAAGCTGATTACGTCTTTCTAATAATGGAGGTTCTGAGAGAAGACTTTGTGAATAATCTATGTATCGATGTCTGTTTGTAACCTTTTTGTCTCGATTCTTCATCGTTGAACCATTACAAGTTGATTCAATATCATTAACCACTTCTTTAACTCTTCCAGCCAACTACAGCCACGATATCTCATACATTGAATCTTACCCCTCTTCCATGATTCTCCACCTATAAAAAGGTAAGGCTTCTTCCCTTGATCATCATCTTCCCAATTAATTATATCAAAAGATTTTTTCTTCA